TGCTGACTTCTCTCCACCTGTCAGAGTCTGCTTACGTCTGCTTTGTGTGTCCTGTCCAGGGATGCTAGTCGTTCTGAGCAGGAGGGATAGGGAAGAGGCGCGTCTACTCCATCTTCCTAGAAGTGGAAACCCTTAGCGTTTGTTTTTCATCATCTGGTCTTACGCATCAGCATGTCGGCTTCATGACAACGAGGGCCTTATTTGGTTCACCACTAGCCCTCGGCATCTAGAACAGTGCCTGGCACATAGTAGGTGCTCTGTAAATTCTTGTGGAATGACTGACTGAATTAATAAATACAGATAAAATAAAAACAGATTGGTAAAAACAGATATGAAAACAATGCTCTGGTTTGGGGGAGCAGTTCAGGGCTACATCCATAAGCCCTCATCTCCCCGGTCCTCTCACCCCCTGTCCGCGAGGTGCCCACACAGGGCGCGGCTTGAAAACTTCGGGGCTGGCGCGCCTGCCGGGGTTGGCAGCGTGCATTTCTGAACTGGTGCGGGGAGGTGCGTGGGGGGTTGGCCTGGTTTCCAGAGCAAGAGCAAGAGTGGACCCTGAGGGGAGGGGAGGGCGGTGGCGGGGGAGGAGGGCGCCGTCAGCCCACTCTCCTTCCCCCGGGAGCTGCAGGGGCGGGGGCAGAGGGGCACGGGGCAGCAGATTCAGAGACGCGTGGACGCCACTGTGCTCTCTACTCCAGGCCCTGCTCCGCGGGAAGGCTGTGACCGACCACTGAGGGAGGCCTCGCTGCCTGCGGGCCGGAGGGGCACAGATTCCCGGCGTGGGACAGGGACAGGCACAAATGCCTAGTGTGCGCCACCCTCAGGGCCCAAGAGCTGGTGGGCCTGGGAGCTGAGTGGCGGCAGGCTCTGAGGGCCCGGCTGGTCCCTGCGTGGCCAGCAGGGCACCCTTGGGCAGCCACACCCCCTTCCCCAAGCCTGGTCTCAGAGAAACGGAGGTCAGAGCTACTTGTCCTGGGAGGGATGAGTAAGAGCAGCTGCCTGCTGCCCACACAGCCTCTCGGCAGTTGCACGGCGGCCTGCCCCGTGGTCTCTGGGGCTGAGGCTCCCACAGGGTCACAGTGGCAGACCCGAGCCCCGAGGGGATGAGCCTGATGAAATGCCAGCCAAAGCCTGTTCAGAGGGCAGAGGTGGCCCGGGGTCCCCAGAGAGGGAAGAGATCTGCCCTGCTGTCTCCACAGGGTTGTGGGGACTAGACAGGAGGGGTGGCAGCAGTGAGGCCACGTATTCCACAGGGACAGGGGCCCGGAAGCAGAGAGGCACCAGCAGGACAGGAAGGAGAACTCTCCTGGAACACAGCCCAACTTGCCACTCTCTTGCTGTGTGACGTGGGCCAAACTGCCTAACCTCTCTGGGCCTTCCAGCTCTTATGATCTACTGCAGCTCCGTGATGTCCCACCACCCTCAGTCTGCAGAGTGGATGCTCAGGGTGGGGTTTCACTGTGCGTGCTGGGGCAGGAGGGGCCCCTTTTCCATGCCCTTCTCCCTTTGATCAAATGCAAAACAGAAGCAGAAAGTGTTTGTCCAGGACTAGCTTTCCACTCTCCCGCCAGCACCAGGGAAGCTGAGGTGTTGCCATTCCGAGCAGGGGCCAACACTCAAATTCCTGCAGGGTCCGGCAGATGACTGAGTGAGGGACGTGCGGGAGGTGTAAGGCAATAGGGAGTGGAGGGGACTGGGGCAAACTGGAGAGCATGCGCCCCATGCAAAGGTGCAGCCCTACTCAGCTCTCGCCGCCTGCTGCCACAGGCAGTGCTGGCTAGACGGGGACAGATCTGCTCAAGGTCAAGACAAGCCAGGAACTTGGATTTTGTGTAAAATGTTGCCTTTTTGGATAGGTGTTAGGAACAAATACAAGCTTTTATAAAACACAGTGCAAGGTGAAACGAAACGTCGGCAGCCGGGCTTGGCCTCAGGCTGCACGTGACTTTGGACAACAGAATCCGCCCTGTCTGAGCCTGTTTCCCGAGTGCTCCGCATGCATCATTCCACTCGCCCCTCACCAGTCTCCAAAGATGCCCCCACTGAGCCACCGCTCCGGCAGCTCGTGCTTCCCCTTGAATCTGGCCCCGTCACTCACGGAATGCAGCAGAAGTGACACTGTGTGGCTTCTGAGCACGGTCATAAAACCCTGCAGCTCCCACCGGGGTGTCTTGGAATGCTTGCTCTTGGGACCCTGTCCCCGGGGACTCAGCCTCCATGCTGTGAGGAGTCCCTCTGGCCGCCGGCCACTGCCAGCCATCTCTAGCTGCCAGCGTCGCGAGGGGACATCTCAGACACCCACCCGGTCACGCCCCAGTGGCTCTAGCCCCAGCTGACACCCGACTGAAGCTGCGGGGTCAGATCCCAGCCAGCACCACCCAGCTGAGCCCAGTCCACCACCCAAACCATGAGCGATAATAATAAATTTTAGTGTTGATCCACTAGATTTGGGGGCACCATGTTACACATCAACAGAGAACTGGAACGCCACTCAACTCATGAGAGCCCCACGAGGCAGCAGCTTGGGCTGTCCCCATTTTACAGCTGAGTACACTGAGGCGCAGAGAGGGTGAGTGACTTGGCCAAGGTCCATAGCGGGCGAGGGTTGGAGTCAGGACCTGAACCCAACCAAGCTGCCTGATTCCAGGGGCCACCCCCTCACCCCCACCCCCCAGGCTGCCTCTGCCGCCCGGGTGTCAGGGTGACATGGGGACCTCCGAGATCCTCAGAGCCTGTTTGTTCCTCCTCCCTGCTGGGCCGGAACGCAGAGGCTGGCGCTGTCTCTCCCAGAGCCGGTCTCCTCTCCGGTGCCGGGGCAGGAGCAGGGGAGGCCCTGGGGCCAGGGCTTTGACAAATGGCCTCACAGGTATTAAACGAGAGCGATGACATGGCGCAGCCCCAGCAAGGCCACAGATGTGAGGGAGAGAAATGGAGCTGATCCATCTTGCACTCAGTGGCGCGGAGAAAGGGACCAGCCCTCAGAGGGGCTGCACGGTGGGCCCGGCCTGTACCAAGTCCAGCGCGAATCGGTGCCCCTCGGAGGCCAGCACCGAGGCAGCAGGGGGCAGGGAGGAGCCCTCCAGGGAAGCAAAGGTGCCCCTGGCCGACACCGGCAGGCTCAGTTGCAGACGCAGGGGCTTCTGGGAAGAGAGGCCTGGGGGAGAAGGCAGTTCTCACTTAAGGCTGTGAGAACCACGGCAAGTGGCCCAACCTCTCTGAGCCTCAGTTCCACATATGCAACACGAGCTTGTTGCATGTGTTAAACTTCATGTCGCTAGCAGCAAGAAGAGCTGGCATGCACTGAGCACTCAGGCGATCCTCCTGTCTCTGCCTCCCAAAGTGCTGGAGTTACAGGCATGAGCCACCACGCCCGGCCCATTCTCTCTTCTGACAGCAGCTCACTCCATCACCCCTGTCAATTTTCCATCGGGAGACCTCTCCTCCTTTTCTCTCTGTCCAGGGTTTGGGTGGGGCCACGCCCTTCTCTGGACCATGTGACCCAGGCCAGGGCAATTGGAGCATCTCAGTCTTCCCAGGGTCTACATCATTGGTTCAGAGATAATCACATGACTTAAGCTAAACAAATGAAAGTCATAACCAGAATTTTAGCTTGAAATATTGGAAAGAAACCCCATCTCTCTGTTGACATTGCTACATTTGTTAAGATGTAGGCCTGGAACTGGGTATGGTGACCATTTTTGCTAGCACTTAAGGAAAAGCTGCTTGAGATTGAAGCCAACATCAATGCAAAAGGAACAGAGACAGGAAAAGGGGAGAGAATGACTGAATTCCTGAAGAAATCACCTGGATCCAGCTGTGCCTGAAGCAGACCTTGCGGTAGCTCACCCAGCGTCTGCTCCACCTGCTCACCGTTGGGGAATTTGGGACTCATCCCTGGCTTCAGAGGTGGGCCTGGCTGGGCTGAGCTAATAAGCTCATGACAGTGCCCCAGCCGCAGGATGATTCAGGAGAGAGAAGATGACCTCAGCCCATCAGAAGGAAGCCTAGTCAGTGTTAGAAAGAGAAGCCCTTTCTCGCCTCTACGTGCACCAGCCCCAGGAGGAGCTTTCTCTCCCTCAGGGGGAAGGACGCCAGCCCAGGGGCAGAGTTAACACGTGGAGGGGACCGTGCTCAGAGGATCACAGAGGAACAGAACTGGGCCCTGGTGACTCCAGCCACTCTGGATCAAACGGGCCCCACGTCCACATCCCACTGTGCTTTTCCCTTCCATGGACCGGTGTCTTCCTTTGCTCAGGCCGATGCGGGTGGACTTTTCTGCCGCGACCCAGAGTTCCCCACAGGGACTTCTCAGTTACATGAACTAATAATAAACACCCCTTGCTTATTTAAGCTCAGGATTCTACCACTCGCAGGCAAAAGAACCTGACTAATTCCGCCTTTCTCGTGCTCACCCTGCTCGGAGGTGCTGGCCCACTCCCTGCACTCGGGGCCCTCGCTGGGGTCCCTCTCCCCCATCAGACCACCTAGACCCCTCCGAGGCTCGGCTCGCCTGACTGCACATCCTGCCAGCCTCCGTTCCCCTTCCAGAGCAGGTTGCTAAGGCAGGGTCGGCAAAGGACCAGACAGTAAACATCTCAGACTCCGTTCGACGCTCAGGCTGCTGCCATAGTGTGAAAGCAGCCGTAGATACTACGCAAACAATGGGGGTATCTGTGTTCCAAAAAAACTTCATTTATGGACATCAAAATTTGAATTTCATATTATTTTCCCATGTCGCGAAATAATATTATGTTCTGATTTATTTTCAAGCATTTGAAAACGTAAAAACCATCCTTAGCTCGAGGGCTGCATAAAAACAGGTGTTGGGCCGGATGTGACCAGCGGGCCGTGTTTGCCAATCCCAGCTCTAGCGTCTCAAAACACCTTTGGGCGGTTACTGCCCCCCACCCCGCCGTCTCTCCCCTCCCCACCTGGGCTGAGCTGCTGAAGTGCCGGCAGGCCTCAAAGGCTCTGTTGCCTGAAGGTCAAAAGCCACTTACCAGAAGGACCACCCGTAGTCCCAGGAATGGGGTCTCCAGTCTTCAGGGCCGAGGCTCACGGTGACCTGGAACACCTGCGTGTACATCATGTGGGCCACCATTCCCAGGAGGCCTGCAGGGCAGGGAGAAGAACAGGTGTCAGGAGGCAAGGAGGGGCTTTTCTAGGCTTTTCCTGCCTGCCTGTTGGTGCTGAGGGAGAACAGGGACCCCTGGGAGAGAGAGAACAGCAGGAACAGAGCATGGGAGGCCATGGGGGCAGTTTTCTGACCGAGGCCAAGGAGCTTGAGTTCGGGCCAGAGGGCCGAGAGAAGCCCTGGAAAAGTTTAAGCAAAGGAGACACAGAGTCGGGTCTGTGTGCCTCAGCAAACCTTCTCCGTAAAGAGCCAGGTAAGGAGATATTTTAGTTTCCGCGGGCCACATGGTCTCTGTTGCAGCGACTCAAGTCCGCTGTTGTAGCACAAAAGGAGCCATAGACAATGCGTAAATGAAAGAGCTTGGCTGTGCTCCAGTAAAACTTTATACGCCAAACAGGCATCGGGCCAGGTTTGGCCTGTGAGTTGAGTCGTAGTTTTCTCACACCTGTGTTAGAAGGTCATTTTGAGAGAAGCAGCCTAGAGAGTGGTTTTCAAAGTGCAGGTCTTGACTCATTAGACCAGTGTGTCACGAAATCAACTTCACGGATCTGTAGCACAACCAGCATAAAAATAAAATGGAATGTGGAATGTGGAACGGGACGTGACTATCTTATACCATCAAATGCAGCAGGAGGAAATACTGTTTCGTGAAACTTTCCACTTCCATCCATGTGTATGTGTGTGCAGTGGTTGCATTAATAACATGAAATGTCTTTTCTGTGGCTCACAAACCCACTGGCTTGGAGAACTCTGATCCCAGAGGATCTGAGCGGGCATCCTCTCCCACCACACTTTCCCCTTGTGGCCCTGGGCAAGGCACTTCACCCCCCTGAGCCCCAAATCTTTTCATCGGAAGATGAGGATCATGACAGGTATGGTGGAGAGTCGACGAAAGGAGGCAGGGCAGCCTTAGTTTTCTGCCTGTCCCTTTTCCGAGGGCTGTGCCTGGCCCTCCACATCCTCAGTTGTTGCAACTTCTCCAAGTCCTTCCTCCCTATACCCATCCAGGTGCTCTCTGAGTTATGTGACCTCTCAGAGCCTTGGTTTCCTCATGTATGAAATAGGATTGTAGCAGACATGGGAGCACCCACTGATGAAGGAAAACATTCATGAGAATGACCACACCTTCCATCAGGACAGCAGGGCCATAACAGTATTTTCATATAAAATCTCCCAGCTAGACCCAGAAGCTGGACCCAGCCTGGCGGCAGAATAATTAATTTTCCAAATTTTTCATTTAGAAAAGCATTGATTCCTAAATTGAATTCTGTTTATCGCTAAATATGAAAGGCCATGCCTTAAGAAAATTCAATACGTGAAAATTACAATTCACTCCAAGATACCTGGGTGGAACTCCCTGTTTGCATTTTAAAGATTCTGCTTCAAAAAATCTGGCCCTTGTCCACATCTCTGGAAGCACGTTTGTTCTGCAAAGCAAGGGCCCTCCCAGGCATCTGTCCTGCGAATCCTCGGTAGAAAGGATCATTTCCAACTCAGCTGAATTGAAAAGTGACTTTCTGCTGAGTTACTGCACCTCCTAAATTAGGGACGACTAAAGGAATGAGACTTTCCTGCCGCTGCTATCACTTCCTGGCCTGGACGCACACCAGGAAACCCAAAGCTGTAAATACCTCTTCGTGGTTTCCGGGATCTCCCAACTCCTGACACCAAAAACGGAATTCCCAGCTGGAGTGGACATGTGAGTATGGCCTCCCCTGGACCCTGGGGAACCGGGAAGAACACTGGGGGCTGTGGGATGTTGGCCAAGGGGCCAGCGCTGGCCGGCTGTGGTGCCGCCCGGAACCCAGCGCGGGAAGAGCTGCCGTAACTCCCAGCCCTGCTCCCCGTGGGCCGGACTGAGGAAGCCGGATTCTGTCCTCAAGTCTGGGGGGCTGGCGCGGGCTCAGAAGGAAGAGACGCTGTCAAGAGCATCAGAAGGTGCGTGAAGTCATCGGCATAGGGGCGATAAATGATGCTGTGTGCCTAGAGGCTGCAGGGAGAGAGGGGAAGGAGCCGGGAAGGAGCCAACATCTGGCGCTCCAGCAGAGCGAGAGGGACGGGGAAGGGTGCTCGGAGGCCGGGGAAGGGGATCGGGAAGAAGAGCAGTGCGGGGTCTCCAGCTGGGACAGGTGGAGACAGGACAACAGAAAATGACAGAGGACGCTCCCAAAGCCTGATGCTGCCTGGACAAGCGGGAAAACGGGGCCATAGCTGGAGACGCGGCCTGGGGTTCAGGAGGGATTTTAAAGATGGGATATAGAGAATGTTTCCATGCCCTTCCAGAATGATCTAGCAGGAGAGACGGACAGCGCAGAGGAGCGAGAGGGCGGCGGTGGGAGCGAGGCGGAGAGAAGACGAGCAGGTGGGGGAGGTTCTAGAACACAGGGGGCTTGTGACGGTGCTGGGACGCCTCGCCCAAGGGAGCCGGGCGGGAGAGCCGGCGGGTGAGCTCCCAGCTCTCGGGCAGCTCGCTCCCCTCCTCTCCAGCAAGCGTGAGGCGGGGTCGCCAGCTGAGCGCCAGGCGGCAGATGGGCGCGAGCGGGGAGCGGGGAGAAGGTGTGAAACAGTCTTTTCCAGAGTGGAAAGGCACGAACACACCGCGCAAGTGCACGCGGTCTCGGGCTCTCGGGCCAGCGCGGCGCGCCGTGTGAGATCGTGCCCGGGAGCTTGAAGGCAGCGGGCGGGCCGCGGCGTCCAGGTGGGGGGAGGACTCGGCCCGGGGGTGAGCAGCGGAGCCTCCTGGGTCTTGAGGACGCACAGGAGTGCCAGCTCGGGGCCACACCATCCCTTGTCCCGCCGCTGGGGGAGGGGCGGCAGGTCCCTGGCTGTCCCCCGAGGTGGGGTGGACCAGCACCCCGGGGCCCTGCTGAGGGAGCCCCCTCCAGCCCGGCCCTGCCGCCTCGGGGTAGGGACACGGAGCACAGTGGCCATCCGAATCCCAGACTCCTCCCGCCACCAGCCTGGCTCTCTCTTGCAGGGTTTAGATGTTTTATGTGGATGCCATGCTCCATTTAATTGAGATATCAGGGAGGTAGCCGGTTAATTAATTTATAATAGGGTTTATTATTAAAGTTGCTAAGTTATTACTGAGAACACGTGGAGAGCGCTCATGTCTAAATAAATATTCCTTGTCGATGTCGGGCGCGGAGCCGGACTTGCCAACATTCCAAGCGTGTCATGTCGGGGACGTGAGCCACAGAGGGGTGGCGGGGGGCTGGGGGAAGCGGGAGCTGGATGAGATGGGGAAGGGCGGTGGCAAAGGGAACCCCTGGACATTCGGTTAGTCACTGAGCAAACACGGAACATCTGCTGTGCCCCAGGCTTTCCTCCTGGGGAGACGTGGCTTCCCTCCCAGTGCTCCAGTGGGCTGGGAGGGACGGACACACAGACTGGGCCCCACTGTGTGTCAGGGCGGCCTAGAGGGGAGGTCCAGGGCTCTGGGGGGTGGGGAGGTGAGAAAAGGCCCCCAGAGGCGGCAATAATCCACGCTGAGAGTTGACAGTCAGAGGGAGGAAGGCAGGGCCGGCAGGGAGCTGGCCCATGCAGAAGCTCACAGGCAACGTGGTTGGGTGTGGCAGTCGCAGGCAGTTAAGCAGGGCACATGGGAGGTGAGAGGTGCTGCTGGAAGTATAAACAAGGACACTCCATGAGAAGTCCTAAGCCATCTGAGGGAGTCTGGACTTTACCCCAAGGGCGGTAGGCAGGAATTGCATCCCTGGAAATCACTGGAAGGGGCGGAGGTGGAACGAGCATCAGACATGCTTGGTTAAAGCCCCTTCTGGCTGCTGGGGAGGCAGGGGGCAGGGTGTGGGGGCCGGGCAGCTGTCGCCCCCCCCAGGCCGGCAGGGGTGCTGAGATGCAGGCGTCGCCTGGCACCACTGAGATGGATCACGTCCCGGCAAACCTTCAGGCACGGGGGGCCTGGGCTCAGGAATGGGGAAGGACTCTGGGTGACTGGGAGCGACTGGGAGAAGCTGTGGGGACTGACCCAATTTACATCAGCCCTGGAATGTGCTCCCGCAGAAAGAAAACCTTGAAATCCTAAAGCCTGGCATTTCATGACACCAGCCCGCTGGGGGCAGGTGAAAAAATAAATCCCTTATGTACACATATCTAAAATATCCAGCTGCTGGTCACGACGGAGACCAAAGGCTGACTCGTCCTCGTGCCCTGCAGCCCGGGGGACCCACATGGCCAGGTGCACCTGCGCTTAAAACCAGCCCCGGGAAGCTGAGCCGATGCTATGTTTAAAGCCTGCCCAGACCTATTTTTAAAGAAAAAGCTATTTTTAGCCACTCTCTTGAGAACCCACAGCCTCTCTTGGTAGCATATTTCAGGGTTTAAAAAGTTCCTCCTTACACATAACCTAAATCTTTCCAGCTCCAATTTGAGCTAATTTCTCGCTCTGCCCTCTGAGGACAAGGGAGCTGAGCTGGCCGGTGTCATCTCGAGAGGAGCCTTTCGGGAGCTCGGCAATTACCCGGGAGCCACTCCCCACCCCCCTGCCGACCTCGTCGTGTCTGGACCACTCCAATTGCTCTGCCCTTTCTCCAAAGGGCTCGTTGTAGATTGCTTGAGTCATTAGCGTCACTCGTTTGGATTCTGCCTTTTAAAGCGAAGTGGCCAAATCGAGGCGGCATCTAATGGGGACCTTCCGAGTTCAAGCAATGGGTTTACTGAACTCCCACCAGTCTTGTCCCCCCCCCCCCGTGCCACCCAGCCCTGAGGCAGTGAGTGGGCTCAGACTCCCCCCACCCAGGTGGGGGCCCAGAATGAGTCCAGAGGCCCTGGTCCCAGGTCTTCGTGGGTTTTGGGGTGGCCCAGGGCCAACTGGTAGAGGGACGACTTTTGATACTAACGGCTATGCCCCCACGCCCCCAGCATTGCGTGTTGCCCTGCTGCCCTCCCCGTGTGGATAAACAGGCACACGGCATCCTCGGCTGCCGGGCACAGCTGTTGCAGAAGAGCAAGAAAGCAA